AACCAATTTTCTGGAGTTTTCTTCAAAACCAATTGAGTTTTGAGAAATGAAAAGTGAATGAAATTAAACCAAAACCATCCTCTTCGCGGACAAAATTGGGGAAGGAGAGATACCTCAGCAATTTCCCGAATCTTTTTGCGATAAGCGCTCGCTCTCATGTTTTCGGCTCGCCTTTGTGTGCCAGATTATTCAGTACAGTGGTACTGAAGAGGTGGGTCCCATTCTGCGGTTCAGGATCTGCTATTATCTCTTGAAAAATGAAATGTTCTGCACTTCCCGGGTCAGTAAGCCTGGAACATTCTGTGATACCTCTCTTTCTCAAGCTGACGATTTGAGGAGCATATTCTGCTGTCCAGAGATTCTTTATTTCCATTACTCATTCGTGTGCATGACAACCCGCACGAGTTTTCTGAACCATTTTTGTCACCCAGTAATCACAAGGAACCCACTTTGCATTGAATTTTAGCATAACCCCGTACCAATTTTCCGGAGCACCTACATCGCTCTTCTATTTACGAGCAATTAAGCTGTTGCAGCGATGCCGTATTTGATTTTTTCCGCTTTCTTATAGCGACGAAGTTGGCATAATGTAACTATTTGCACGCCGCTCATTTGTACATCAGGCTAAATTTGTATATTGCCAGTATATTGTATGTTAAGCCAAATTTGCATAAATATGCTGTATCGCTGTTATAAAAGTGCTCGAAATATTTTCAGAGACACTTTGAAAATTGTTTGAAATGCTGGCCAGTCGGTTCTTCGTTTCCCCACATACAAAGCAAGCAACGGGGTTTTTGGTGGAGGCGAACCACTGGAAAAGCTACTGATTGGAGCCATCCCTGGGCCATGATCATTCGGGCAGCAGCGGTCGTGGCCACATCAACAATGACAACAACATCGCCATCGAGGAGAAACAGTGGGAACGAGCGGGGGCACTGGTTCAGTCGTGCACAACGGGAGAAGCATTGGTACGCAATAACTTTCTGAAAAAAACCCGGGGAGTGCAGCAAGTACCGATGAGAAGCAAGCGAATAGACCGGTAAAGAATGAAGTATCTCCAAAAGCGGAGCGAC